AGAAAAAAAAAATCCCAGAATACGCACGAACTTTCTTCTCCTATTAATTACGTTTCTTGGTATTTTTATTTACACAGAGAGTGGGAAACTGTTACGAAAGTAAAGAATAAATAAAATAGAAAATCTTACTAAGTAACGCAAGATTAATCGAGCTCGGGTCTTAGGCACGGTACTTGTAATCATTCAACTAGTAAATAATGAACAACGAGAAGATTTTTTTCTTTCTTTATTGAGCTTAACCCTATCTTGAGATAATGTTTTTTCTGGCAGAGCTTCGCAATCGATCATGAACGTTTTATTTGTATTTGATTTACAGACTGCAAACATGAACATTTAATTCATCTTCCACTTATCACAACACAGCACTGGATGCCATTAATTTTTGCTATCGTAAATAATCATTGCATGATTTTCGAAAATATTGCTGAAAAAAACTCGTAAAATTTGGCTTCACAAGAGAAACATCAGTAAATTTCAAAATATTTCAAAAGCTAAATTTTTGTAGAATTGTACAAAAATTTTGTATTACATCGGTATAATTTGACAAGAAGCTGCTCATAATATTTGATGACAACAATTTAAAAAGTGATTCGCCGATTATAGTGAAGTGGCGTAAAATCACATTTATAGACTTATAGTCCATTTTGGGCAGAAATAAAATAAAATAAAATCTGAGAGTTTTCAGAGTTTACATTACGCCCAAAGGGGTGTTTTTTTAACATTTTGTGTGTTACCTTTATTTATTAAATATCATGATCTTCGCACTTAAACCAAAAAATTCAGTTCATGAACAATATCGAAAATAATTTTTAAATGAGCATATCTTCAGAATTTTCGAAAAACAGTCTTGCGCGCTGAAGATAAAATGTTTTTTACTTCCTTGTACGAAGTAAAAAGGAAGTATTGTAATAGCGAAAAGCTTCAGGCAGCATATTTCAACGAAAATATCCACTTTGACCGCTTTCGAGTGCAATTTAACGATGTTCTTGCGTGATATCTGTGCGTAAGGACAGAATAAAAGACTCTTTTCCTCCAAAAAATCTAAAAAAACTGCTTTAAAATGAATTCTGAAGAGAATTTTTCGTGGCGTCTGTACGAACGTATGCACGTACGTGCGTGCGTACGTACGTATCTCGCATAACTCAAAAACGAGTAGCCTCAGAACGTTGAAATTTTGTATATAAGACTACTATAACATGTCGATGTGCACCTCGTATTTTGGTTTCAATCGGCAGCGCCAACGTATATAAATATATCCACTCTGTTACCCAGCTCAGTTATCTCAGTTTCTTTACTCTTATATGTTTGTAAATAGTACATTTTTTGCTTTAAAAATGATTGAATTATGTTGTTTTGATCTTCCGGTTAAGGGTCTTATGCCTTTAGTAAATCTATATATATATTTTTAGAATTATCAACAATTTTAAAATTGTTTAAGTGCCGCTAAGCCTAATTTGATGGCGGCCATTGATGTTTACATTTGAAACAGGAGACTAGAGGATTTGTTGCCAATCTAGAGAAACTTAGCTTCCCAACAACAAAGATAACGCATTCATTTATCATTGCCAATTAAATCATGCTTATTCCTTTCTTGAATTTTTTCCAGGAAATAAGCGTTTAAGATTTAATTCGTAATTTTTAATACAGATATTTTGAGTTTTTATGTATTTTTGCCTTCTCGCGAAGTGAAAATTGAATTAATTAAATGAGAAATACTCAATCGTCTGTGAAAAACTGTTTCTTTTTTGTTTTGTTTACTTAATTTCTTTTATACATCGTTCTAGCTTTATTATAGTATTTGAATAGAACATGTGGCAACGATTAGTTTAATTCTTAAATGATATAAATTTTTGGCATTCAGAGTTATAATATGAACGAAATATAATACTGTTAAGTAAACCTAGCGCCAGAGTTTAGCTATGGTAAACAAAGTGAATTTTAAAGAATGCATTTATTCTATTGTGGTTTATGTGCTGTCGGCGAAGTAGGTTTAATTCAACCGAATAAGTTTAAATAAAATGCAAGAAAAAATGCGTGGAATTTAATATTCCGTACAAGGAAGTCATGTGGTGTACACATCAGATTTTTTTTTCCTGTATCCCTGTACAACGTTGCCATTGCTCGCTTTGAAATACTTGAGATTGTTAATCAAAAATTCGTTAAAGTGTTACAAAATTGGTAATCGATAATAAAACAAATTCCAAATTTGGGCTCCCAGTTGTCCATATGCGGAGCAGAATTACTTTATTCAAAATTTGATGGCTCTAGGTAGTTTTATCACAAGGCGAGAAACATACATACAATTATGCATATTCCTCGTTACTGAATTTCTCTAAATATAATACTGGTCGATAATATTTGGTGGCAACAATTTGAAAAGTGAATCAACGCAAAATGCCGAAACGAAATTAATAGTCCTTCTGGGAAAATTGTCCTTTTGGACTAATAATACCAATATGCATGTCCCAGTTAGTAAACTTCAGATATGAGAGTTCCTACACAACATTTTTCCACTTGCAATAGTTTTCTTTATATTTTAATTTTCATCGAAATCTATAAGAGCATTTTTACTAGAATAACAACGTTCGAATACCTCTCCCACGCTTTCCTTCAACGATTCACTTGAAAGTTGAACCGAGATGCGATGTATTCGTTTCAGAGGAATACGCTTCTGGTGCTTATAGAGACTGCAATAAATTTGTAATAGATATTTAATCCTTCCTCCAGCTTCCTAATTAAAATTAAAATTTATGTCAAAAAGAAAATATTTATGTTTTTGATTTTATAGATCCATGACGCAGTTTGATAAACATAAGCATGTATGGCATGTTCTTAAATTATTTTGCTATTATATTTCTCTGTTTTTAAATGTGTCCATGTGAATCAAATTTCAAAATGAATGCGATTTTGCTTTTTCTCCAGAGATGAAAAATAAAAACCGTGCAAATACAAAACTCCTTTTAAAATTACTAACACAATTTTAAAAATTAAGATACATATAAATGTAGGCATAGCTATTATTAGGAGATAGTATTTTATACTTATTTATTTCCTAACATAAACATGAAGTATAGAACAAGCAAAAGATATTTATAAATACAAAAACGTAAGTGATGCCATTCACAAAAAGGGTAATGTTATTTTTAATAGTTCGCTGGCTTTGCCGCAACAGCTATGAATGATCATGATCTATTTATTAGTCTTGGTTTATTGATAAAAATTCAGGTTAAGTTCTGCTAAACTTACTTCCTTCTGTTTACGAATTTCTGTTGGTCTTGCAGTAATTAACATAAAACATTAAGGGGACTCATACAGCTTAAAACCCATAAGATGTTCGAATAGGTGACTATTGCAAGAATTGGGATAACTTATTTATTTTATAAGCAATTACTACCAACTTTGTACAGCTGACTACACAATATAGCTGCTTTCTGATTTAAAACATTGTTTCATAATTTAATTCCATATTTAATATATAGCTTTTATAACATTTAGAAGCTACTGTGAACCTAAAATTCTTAAAAATTTCATGTTAAATTTTTTATTTTATTTTGAGTTGAGTTTATAAAATGTATTTATTAACAAAATTTTGTAATGTTTTCGTCCATAAAAGTTTTCAGTATTAAAGTATTCATCAGATTGTTGGTTCAGTTAGAAAATAGTGCCCAAATAAAGAATTCCATCAAATTTCAAATATGTTATACCAAATACCAAAGTTTTACCAAATAACAAATGTTATACCAAATACCAAATACCAAAATTTTTAAAAAGGCAAATTTCATTTGCCATTTTAAAAATGTCATGCGCGCAAAGTGGAAACACGGCGAAATATTTTGTCACAAAGAGGATTAAATTACAAAAATATTTGTGGCAACACAAACTTTCTGATTACTAGTTTCTAAAGCAGCTATATTATGTAGTCAGTTGTAAAAAGTTGGAAGTAATTGCTTTTAAAATAAATAAAATATCCCAATTCGGGCAAGCAACAGTCACATATTCGAAGTTCGTGAGGGGTTTAAGGTGTATGAGTCCCCTTAAAACTGTCAAGCTTTAAGAATCATTTTTTTTTTTTTTTTTTTTTTTTTTTTTTTTTTTTTTTTTTGTTTTTTTTTTTTTTTTTTTTTTTTTTTTTTTTTTTTTTTTTTTTTTTTTTTTTTTTTTTTTTTTTTTTTTTTTTTTTTTTTTTTTTTTTTTTTTTTTTTTTTTTTTTTTTTTTTTTTTTTTATTTTTTTTTTTTTTTTTTTTTTTTTTTTTTTTTTTTTTTTTTTTTTTTTTTTTTTTTTTTTTTTTTTTTTTTTTTTTTTTTTTTTTTTTTTTTTTTTTTTTTTTTTGTTTTTTTTTTTTTTTTTTTTTTTTGTTTTTTTTTTTTTTTTTTTTATTTTTTTTTTTTTTTTTTTTTTTTTTTTTTTTTTTTTTTTATTTTTTTTTTTTTTTTTTTTTTTTTTTTTTTTTTTTTTTTTTTTTTTTTGTTTTTTTTTTTTTTTTTTGTTTTTTTTTTTTTTTTTTTTTTTTTGTTTTTTTTTTTTTATTGTTTTTTTGTTTGTTTTTTTTTTTTTTTTTTATTGGTGTTTTTTTTTTGTTTTTTTTTTGCTTTTTGTAATTTTTTTTTTTTTTTTTTTTTTTTTTTTTTTTTCAATTTTGCAAATAAAAATAATACGTGAAATATCTTGCATAGCAATTTTATAATTATTACCTTCATGAGACATTTAGGTATTTTTATTCGGAAAAATGAAATAAAAGTATAGCTTCATTGAACTATCAGTTTATTTATAAATGTATGGGCAAGAGAAAATTACAAAATAAAATTATAAACAGGTGTTTAGACGTAAAAAGTTTCTTCAAATTTTACTCGAAGCTAAATGTTGCAAGCGGTAAATGATGCATTCCAGTACCAAAATTACATGTAAACTAGTTGTTCCTTTTAAAAACGTTTTCTACTCTTCTCTTATTAGTGTTAATTATAATTTTCATCATTGATAAATACTTATTTTACATTTCAGATCCTCAAGTAGTTCGGATCAAAATATCATCTGGCATTGTTTCAGAAGGTGGGGAGCATTCTGCAGTGACTCTCACTTGTGAAGCAATTGATGGAAATCCACGTAATTTCACAACCGTCCGCTGGTATAGGAACAATGAATTGGTTAATGAAACATCAGAACCTGTTCTACACATTAAGCACGCCAACAGACATCATGGTGGAAATTACTCATGTGAAGGTCTTAATGCAGCTGGATGGAGTCACAGACCAATGTCTGAAGAACTCATTGTTCACTGTATGTTTTTTTTTTTAAATTCCTACTATTAGCTCACACTCTCCCTATATCTTATTCAAATATTCAATCGTTAATAAAATACTCTTCATTCATCCACTCAAATTCAAATACCTTTTATTTAACTTGTAGTGGATAATACTTAATAAGTTTCTTCACATAATAATGTCAATTCATACTTTATTATTCCTGTTTATCAGAACTAAAGCTATGCTGTTTTTTACTTCCTTGTACGAAGTAAAAAGGAAGTATTGTAATCGCGAAAAGTTTCAGGCAGCATATTTCAACGAAAATATAAGTTTGACTGCTAACGAATGCAATTTAACGATATTTTTACGTGACATCTGTACGTAAGGACAGAATAAAAGACTCGTTTCCTCCCAAAAAATTATAAAACTGCTTTAAAATGAATTCTGAAGATAATTTTTCGTGGCGTCCGTACGAACATACGTATCTCGCATAACTCAAAAACGAGTAGCCTCAGAGCGTTGAAATTTTGTATATAGGACTGCTATAACATGAAGATGTGCACCTCGTATTTTGATTGAAATCGGCCGCACCAAACGTATATAAATATATTTATATATATATCTACTCTTTTACCCGGTTCAGTGATCTCAGTTTCTTTACTCTTATATGTTTGTAAATTGTACATTTTTTGCTTTAAAAACGATTGAATTATGTTGTTCTTATCTTTCGGTTAAGGTTTTATGCCTTTAGTAAATCTGTATGCAATATTTTTTAGAATTATCAATAATTTTAAAGTTAGTGCCGCTAAGCCTAATAATGTTTTTGATGGCGGCCGTTGATTGTTTACATTTGAAACAGCAGACTAGTGTATTTGTTGCCAATGTAGAGAAACTTAGCTTCGCAACAACAAAGATAACGCCTTCATTTGTTATGGCGAATGAAATCATGCTTAATGCTTTCTGGAATTTTTTCGAGGAAATAAGTGTTTAAGATTTAATCTACGATATATCCTCTTCAGTATGCATCTACGATATATCCTCTCTATGTGTTACGCAATCGGTACTTCTGCGTTTCTACGTCTCATTAATCCTACATCAGAATTTCTATCTAAATTTGGTTCTATTACATATGTATATATGTTTGGTGCGGCCGATTTCAAATAGAAAGGAAGGTATGCAACTAGTATATGTTATAGTAATCCCAATTACAAAATTTCAGCGTTCTAAGCCTACTCGCTTTTGAGTTATGCGAGGTACATGCGTACAGATTTCACGAAAATTCTGCTCTGAATCCATTTTGCGCAATCCGTTTTGGGAAAAAGAGTCCTTCATTCTCTCCATACGTACACATGTTACGTAAAAATATCGTTCAAATAGATTTGAAAGCGGTCAAAATGAATATTTTCGTTGAAACGTAGTACAAGAAATTTTTCGCCATTACAATACTTCCTTCATTTCGTACGAGGAAGTAGTTAGAAGTTGTAAACAATAAAAAGTTACCCTAATTCAGGATGAAGTTCTGCACTTTTCCATTCGCCATTTCCGCTAATATTTCTATGTTCACAAGCGGACATTTTAAATGGCACTAGCTTCTGAAAGTATTGTAATTAAACGTCAGAGAATTTACCGACAAATTTAATTATTTCACTTATTATGTTAATTACCAGCCATGAGCTCATTACTAAGTATATAGCAGAATTGATCACTGTAAAAGTCTAAAATTAAGTTTTATTTACTTAATTTTAATTACTATTTATATTAAGACCTTTAACAGATTTTTGCATGATATTCATTCACTATCACGTTAAACCTTAATTAACATACCAGAGCTTAATCTCTCTGTTAGAATAATATAACGCTTAACCGTAAGGTATGCCAGTTATAGAACCATAATACTATTACACAGCAGTTTCATATTACAATCTACTGAGGTGCTTAAATTATTATATGTTCCGAATTACTGTGCCTCTGGTGATGTATTGCGTCATTGCGTATATTATATTACTGTTAACTATATTCCGCATTCTGTGATTCAACTTGACACCAGGGCATGTTTTCAATCAAACGCGTTTGACACAATAACTAATTATGTATCTCATTAAATAATATGTTAGTAAATTTGCCAGCTTAAGTAACTGGGAATAATTAGGTTATGATAAAATATCATTATGTGTTTACATTTCTATATTAATTTGCAAGATGTCTGCTTTTAATAGCAACTTAAACAACCTTATTCATATGAAATAAATTGTATCACTCAGTGCTTTATTTATAGATAACAGATTACGTATAAATTACGTGTCAAGATCAAGTTCGCTTTTCCGAAAGAGTTTTAAATAAGTGCTCATTTTATTCTCCCCTTTAAACTTATTATTATAAGTGCACGTGTTCTTCTTTTCAGCAAAAGCAGCCATATTAGTTAAGAGGTATATAACATTACTGAGCAATTCAGACAACAAGAATCAGCTTAATAATTGTAAATTTTGCAGGACTAGTTTCGATGGTTTAATTACAGAACCAACTTCCTCAGCTGCCTAAGTGCAAATGAAAGAGATAAGATATGGTGATAAGATAAGAATGGCTGGACAGAAGCTAAGCTACTGGCGCCATCTATTGATGAAACAAGAAGACTGAAACATAATTTTCTGAAAGGCTGAAGGTAAACGTGGATTGGAATTACGGTCGTTAACTAAAAAAAATTTTTTTTGAATGTGATGCGCCTCTAGAAAATCTAATTTATCAATGGAAGATTTTTTTTTATAACTTTGGCTGCAGGAAAATAGAAAATGTGATTGCCAACAGTGGACAAAAGAGGACTTCTCTATTTTCATATCTTAGCTCTTTCATTTGCGTTTAGGCAGTTGAGATACTTAAACTTTCGGAAATAGTCCTGCAAAATTTACAAATATAACGTTGATTCTCATTGTTTGACTCCTGCAATAATAATTATTCGGTGTGCTATTTAAACCTAAATTAAGGTATATAACATACTTCACTGTATAAATTCTGCTTTTATTTAATAACCTAGGAGATCATATGTATAACAGAAGAATGTTAGAAAGTCTAAAATAAGTATAATATTGGACCATATCATTTGCTGTGCCCACTATAAAATTTAAACAACAAGGAATACTAAGATATCTGTTTTGATGTTTTTATTCTTAAAAATGTTTTCGATATACTTTGAAGCTAGAAGTGTTTTTAAACATCTAGTTTTGTTTCCATTGATAATTCTGAAATTATTTTTAATTGGCAATACTAAAGATAGTTTTTTATCTGGGGGGGATATCTTAAATTTACTTAATAATGCTTGTAATCAACAATTTACAAGTGCTTTTAATTAGCGAATGTCAATTTTAAGCTGATTTGAAGGCGCAAGATTATCTCTTGGTAAAATTATTATTTCTTAATTTATCAAAAGGTGTTTATAAATTTCCTGGTGAATATGGATTTTTAAAAATTCGCTGCATCTTTTGCCAAAGGCCAAATGTAAAGGTATTTTTTCCAAATAATCAATGAGAAGTAGTCGAATGAACTATTTTTTTACTTCCTTGTACGAATAAATGAAGTATTGTAATCACGAAAAATTCCGGGTACCATAATTCAAAGAATATATCCGCTTTGACCGCTATCGAATGTAATCTTACAATGTTTTTGCATAACATCTGTACGTATGGACAGATTAAAGGACTCTTTTTCCGCCAAAAAATTATAAAACTGGTTTAAAATGGATTCTGAAGAAATTGTTTTCGTGGCGTCTGTACGTACGTACCTATGTATGTATATATTTCGCATAACTCAAAAAGGAGTAGCCTCAGGACGTTGAAATTTTGTATATAGGACTGCTGAATAATGTACTTGTGCACCTCCCTTTTGGTGGCAAATTGTCACACCAAATGTTAATAAATATGCGTATATATATATATATCCATTCTGTTACTCGGCTCAATGATCTAAGTTTTTTTTTTTTTTTTTTTTTTTTGTTCTTATATGTTTAAATTGTGCATTTTTTTTCTTTAAAAATTATTGCATTATGTTGTTCTTATCTTCCTGTTAACCCTTTGCGGCACAGTGTTTCCGGTCTGGACACGCCTAAAAATTTCCTTCTGTACGCACAGAGAAATTGAATGAAAAAGGATTTATAGGTTACTATAGGTTACTCTGAACATTCTCTATTTAGAGTAGATGGCAGCTCAACACAAACCAGTCCATATATTTTAGCCATGTTTAGTTTTTTAAGACCCTCATTTTCAAAAAATCTTCCAGATTTTTTTTAGGGTATAAAAGGAATTGTTTGAAACGAAATTTCTATGTTATTTTTTGGGCTGTATGCTAATCTCCTTATTCTATATTAGTTTTAAATTTTTACCTTGAAATCTTGCCTAAAATCAAACGGCGAACTCTAGGTGTGCCCAGACCGGGCTCACCGATCATCTAGGGCAACTGAGAGTCTGTATTCTTTGTTTCTCCGCCTCTCATCGGTCAGTTCATGGACAACAATGCTCGTTTCAGCACTCTTTCGAAGCTCTATTCAATCAGTGAGCCACTTTGGCCACACCCACAGAATTAAAACGATAAGTACTATCTTCACAAAAATTTACTTGTGTACTCCTCTAGGCCTAATTAGACTGCCTACCTTTTTTTTTTAATCAAAAATCCGACTTTAAAAGCAAGCGTGCCGGAAAGGGTTAAGGATTTATGCCTTTAATTAACTTGCATGTAACAGTTTTAGAATTAACAGCAATTTAAAAGTTGTTTAAGTGTTTTATTTGTTATTTACCATAGAAGCCATATTTGTTTGCATTTGAAACTTAGCAGAATAGTGGATTTTTTGCCAATGTAGAGAATCTAAGCTTCGCAACCAGAAAGATAGCATCTTCTTTTATTATTGGGAATTGAATCATGCTGAATCCTTTCCTGAATTAATATTTTAAGTTATTAAATTATCCCCTACGTTGATTTAGCATAGCGTCCACAACAAATTAAGTCAGTTTCTAAGGTTTCAGTGTCTTTTTGCCGAGTAAGACCAAAAGCAAACTTTCAGTTTTCTGTACCGAAAAATCTGTCTTCTTGCTTGTTTTTGCATAGAAAACCTAATTTTAATTCTAAACAATTTTCTATTAATAGTTTTAACTGTATTTATGTTTTATATTTTTCAATTTAAATAAAAATATTTTGAAGTTTTATGTATTTTTGCCTTGTCGCGAAGTGAGAACTTAATTAATTGAATGAGAAATATGAATTTCGAGGAAATAAGTTTAAATGAAATGCAATAAAAAATGCATAGAATTTGATATTATGTACGAGGAAATCATGTGTTGAACGCATCATATTTTGTTTAATTCAACAATTGAAAATATAATATAAAACCCTGACTCTTATCATTAAGACCATAATGTGAAAGATAAGCTTTACTAATCATTCGATCATTAGTTAATATTAAGAAAATGACTGCAAGTAAATAGAACAACGACGACGTCATGAAAATAAGCATTTTTATACTATTCCGATGAAACCTTTTCAATCATTAACCTCTTGTTTACCTTTCAAAGAACTTAAATAATGTGAGGTTAGCATGTAGGGACATTAGGATTTTTTGCAAGCAGGCACGTTGAACAATTAGCAACTGCCTTCGCCGGGAATCGAACCACGGACCTCTGGAATACCGGCCCAGCGTGCAGAACCACTACACCACGAAGGCACGCTAGGAAAGTGGGATTAATATCTTATATACTTCCCCTTTTTTAAAGGGCGACTGGAGTTTTCAGGGCACCAAATCGCCAAAATCCTGGGTGTGAAGAAACCTCATCCAACACACTTTTAGTTCGGGCGCCACTGTAGAGACATCATGAATTTTTTTCGGAAGCCGGAGAGATAAAAAGTGAGCAATTGCCTTCGCCGGGAATCGAACCATGGACCTCTGGAATACCGGCCCAGCGACCTCTGGAATACCGGTTACTACACTACGAATTCACGCTAGGAAATTTATAATTAATTAAAATTAATAATTAATAATGCATTACTAATTAATTTTTATAAATCATCTTCTGAGTGTTAATTAACAAACTGAATTTCAATATTATAAATTGTTCTCAAATTACAAATGACAGAGTGTAATGAAATATGTAATATGCTGTTGAAAAATATTTATATTGCATAATAATATTTCTTATGCATTAGATACTCCCGGTCCTTCAACGATACTCCAACAGCAGGATTTAGCCGTGAAAGGACGAGCCGTAACGCTGGAATGCAGAGTTTTGGATCTAGGCCATCCTCAGTCGACAATGTTTGAATGGCATAAAGAAGACAGGATATTGAACGAGACCGGGCCTCTTCTACACCTGAAACCCATTACGGTTACGACGCAAGGAAATTACTCCTGTGCTGCAGTGAACGACATAGGCCCCGGGCCAGCCTCCTACTTCAGCCTATCCGCCGTAGGTTTGTGTTCCCAACCATTCAATATCTGTGTGTTTGTCCTGTCTCTCTGAATCGTTATCTCGTGTTATCACCGAGTAAGTAATCAGCCGTGCTAACATTTCCAAGCACGCTCTGACTGCGGGGATTTGACACGCATAATACATACGTAACGCGTCCTGTAACCGAGATTCGAGAAGCTGCAATAAGTAATGTACCTTGTCAGAAGGATCAATAGGGATCGGAAAAGGGAGTGAAATGGGCCGTTTAATTGAAACATGAGAGATGAGTTACACGTGCAAATCTTTGGGAATCCTAGCGTACTAATACTGTAATGTGCACATGTAAAAAGCATTGTAGTAACAGATGGTCCCAAACTACCGAGCACATTTCATGTTTGAAAAAAAAAAAAAAAAAAAAAAAAGAACAAAATGAAGTATGTACGTGTTTTTTGTTTTCTTGGAAAGACAATTTAAAACAGTTTTACACAACTAAATTTTAAACATTAAAATAACTTTCAAATGAGTTATTTTTTGTAGCACGCATTTCAAAAGTCATTTCAAATGTGAATCGCGCTCAATAATTTTGGACCAGCCTATGTAACAGATAAATGCATGTTATGATTTCTTGTGTTTTTTAATACATTGATACAAAGAATGTATTTCGAAACAAAAGATAGAAAATAAGTAGAATTTTAAGAATTTTAAACGGAAATCTTAATTTTTAAATATTTTCAAAATGTTAAGTTCTTCTACCTCCTCTTTTCAGTTCTTTACTCTTTTACAGACGACCTTTCATTGCCACTAATATACTAGAGAAGATACTTTCTCGCTCAAAAATTTACATGTTTAATTTATGACGAAACAAATATCCATTTAAAGTTGTAAAGTACCATATGTGAAGAATTAATTAGAAGATCTAAGTGTTATATAAAAAGAAATGTTTAATAAAATGTTTCAAAAATTTGTGAGGGTACACAAAGTGTTTACATTCCAATTAATACAAATGAAATTGATGGGAAAAAAAGAGAGGAGAAGAGTTTTGTTTGGTTTATTTAATTATGGCAAAGCACACTAGGGCTACCTGCCTAAGCGGAGGGGATGCCTTCGCGGAGGACTTTCCAAGGGAAACTGGTTCATATACACGTTACACATGGGGAAAACCACGAAAACCCCCATGCAGCCAGCCCGTTCGCGGGATTCGAACTTTCGGACCGAACTACCAGTGTTCAGCGACTTTACCGCTCGGCCGCTGGTGGGCGAGATGGGAAGAGAAAATTTTTCTTATTCTTCGAGGTATAGAAATGAATATAATGGAAGTTGCAGTTTACGATGTTTTTACAGGAAAAAGGGAATGATGGGCTGATTGTGAACTCATTTAAGCATACATACAATAATTATCTTATTCATTTATAATTTATGCTAAAAGTTTGTGAACCTCAAAATAAAGAATACTACCGCCCAACCGAGATAGTGGTTAGCGCCGCAGCCTGTCGTACCGAAACTCCCGGGTTCGAATCCCGGAGAAGGCATGGATGTTTTTAAATATATAGTGATTATGCGGCATGGGAGCGCTATAAATGCGGCGAGCCGGAAGTCCTTTCGAGAGTTTGTGTGTAAGAGAAGAGGGGGAACACTCGGTTCCGTCCCCCCCCGGGGTGCTCTCACTTGAAATTAGGGGCGGAACTGACCAGAGTCATATTGCCACATGTATGCTGCTTACGGCTATGGCCAACAACAAGCGCAATTTTGCACGCTTTGCCACGATGGATTGTGATGTTACTGCAGACAAGTGAGATAAGTTACAACAACATAAATAATATCGGTGAAATCTGCTGAAAGATTTTTCGAACACTCACACATTTCAAAATATATTATTTATAAGACGAAATAGCTGCTGCTGAATACTTAAAAAGGTAGTCAATATCGCGATCATTTATAATATGCAAATATGCTATCCTTAGGCTCAAATCCTTTCAAAACAAATTCGTGAAGCTATTAAAATAATGAAATCAAATGTAAATATCGCTCGTATTTTTAATTTTCTCCCTTATTATACTAATTTAGTTTACTAGTATTTGGAGCTTTAATTATTGTAATCGGTTGCTTTTTCATTCATTGTCAGCATATTTAAGTTTTCTGTAAATTATTTATATGTTTTTAGTTTTTCAGTTGATTTGAATAAATATTACAGAATATACTTTTGAAAACTGCTAAATTAATGTGAATGCATATGGCATATTTATTGGCTACGACAAAAAATAATTAAAAATAAAAACAACTAAACTTGTTGTGGCTAATTCAACTGATTTAATTCAATGATATGTCTCACATATGAATAACATTTCACCGCATATCGTGTGGCACATATTTTAGGCTTCCAACAACACATGTCATCATTGATTATATATATCATTTAACAAATATAGCTTATAAACCAGGACAAAAAATGATTTAATTAGCATGTGCATGCTGTCTCTATTAGGTTACTGTATAGTCGGGTTGTTTATTCTCCCATCAATAAAATTCCGAGTTCCATACTCAAGGGCCCCATTCCAGATATGAATTCCTGGAGTATTTATAGGATTCCTTGCCAGAGTGGTTTAATTTACATTGGCCAAACTAAGAGAGCCTTAAAATTTCGCGTCAAGGAACATGAGGTATATGTTAGAAAAAAGGAAACATGGAAGTCTTCTGTTGCTCAATATTGTTGGTCCGAAAATCACACTTTCAATTTTTCTGCTGCCAAAATTATTCAAAAAACATCTTCCATTGGAGAACTGGATTCTCTGGAGGCATTTCACACTAAAAAAATCTTTTTGTTCTAGTTAACGATCCTAATTCCAATCCATCTTTGTCTTCGGGCCTTTAAAGACATTATGTTTTAGTTCTGGTTTCATCAACAGATGGCGCCACTTGTTTATTCTTGTTCAGGCTTTCTTATCTTATCTAATCATTATTTCCTATCTTGTGCATTTGCGGTTTTGCAGCTGAGGATGGTGGTTAGATAAACCATCGAAACTAGTCCTGTGAAAAATTTTGAAAATATAACGATGATTTTTGTTGTTTGACTTCTGAATTAGTATTTGTTCGGCGTGTTATTGTGTCTTAATTACTGTATAGTGTTTGGCGTTCATAGGTAGCATAAAACTTAGACCAGAGCTCTAAAAGACAAATGGTGAGTTATCACTATAATCACTATGTCTTGTACCACAGAGGCAAGGAAAGGGTAGGCATTTTCCTTAAATAAAATTTAACAGACCGCACCAACTCTCGTGTTTATAAAGCCAAAAGCTTTGCCTCGACATCAAAGATAATGAAGGAACTGTTTAAAGATAATGAAGGAACAGTTCAACTAGCGCGCAAACTGGCTCTGACCGAAGTCGGCGTAAACAACCATTATGGTAAGAATAATTGAACGCCGCAAAATACGAATCTCTAGCCCTTTCGCGCCGACTGTCACGTATACGTGCCAGCAACGAACACACTTATCTACCGTCCGACACACAGGCGTGCCAGAGCATTGTTGCGTTTTCTACCGAATGTCACGTATTTGTGCCACTACCTTGGAACGTTTTTCAAACTATAATTTCTGCCACAAGATGCACTGTATGCCCCATATGGTTTCAAGATACATGTAGATTAGACCTTCTACTCGAAATGAGGAAGCATTGACCACATACACGTTTTTTGATTATATAAACAAACGGGAAACTAAATGTTTCCGAATGGCGTGATTTATGACGTCTCTTTAAATCGCACTTATTCGCACGTGGTAGTTGTTTATTGTAAGTAGAAGTTTTTATATGCGCTAAAGCGTTGATATTTCGGTTTGCGTTCAGTTTTTTAGAAAATAATTAGATCTTGTTAGACGTGAATTCTTTCTGTTTTTACCGTTTCAATGTCGAAGCGACGAAAATGTTTAACAGAGCATGAAATAGTAGAAATGATGCAAATATTTCAGATATTGATTCTGAAATTCTGATATTGATTCTGAAAGATAACTGAAAGACATTTTCCAAAACTTTGTTCAGAAGAGACTGATAAGAAAATGAGACGACGATGCTTCGTTTGTTCACATTCCCGGAAAAATCTCCCAAAACGGCAAATGAGTTATTTACGAGTTCAAGGAATGTAACGTAGGACTGTGTGTAGATCCCTGTTTTAAAATTTTCATACGAAAAGAGAATTTTAAGTAATATATTAGTTTCAGATGTATAATGTTAAAAGTCATAAAATGGTGAGTAATTAAAATAAATGTGTAAAATATGCATTTAACAAGAAATAAGGTAATTAAAGTATATATATAAAAATATCTGTAAAGCATAAGCCGTTTAAATACTCTAGAGAGCATTATTAAACAATGCGTTGATACTTCGGAGATTTCATGGATTTAAGCTTAGTAGCAAAAAAGCCCCCGGCCCTGGAGAGACGCTCGCGGAAGACACTGCCGGCCTCAGCGATAAGCGCGCGTTTTCGCTACCCGGCTCGAAGGATCTAGAGAAACCACAATTAGAAACGTGGCTTTAAGCAGGCAGAAACATGCCATGATTTCACCCTCCAAAACCTTCATTTCTTTTAACTTTCCTTTTTTTTACATTCTGACAGGGAAATGGAAATTAGGCTGATAGGATAGCGACATAAAATAAAATAAGTGGTTAGAATTTTAAATGATACTTCATACATCTTCCAGTGAACTTTGATCCGTAATAAGCATGTCGTTTCTGACAGAGTAAACCAACATGGCTAGTCACAGAGTGCTGCAACTAATGAAGCATATCAGCTAAGAGGCATAATCTACTATAATGGGATAACATTACCTCATGCCCATCTGTTCAGGACATTATTAACTCTGGATTATCTTTATGAACGACAGCATGACACTCCATTGCTCATACACTATACTGGAGTAATTCGCACTGAAACACTGTGGCCGGCGGGCCACAACGCATTCTTATTCGCTGCTCACTATTTAATCGCAGAAAATGGTTGTGACATAGGAAGGAGAAGTGTCATCGCAAGATC